CGGCCCTCATGGAGCTGCCGACCCACGGCCACAGGCTGGAGCACTGCACCAAGGCCCGGCCCCGGCCCAACCGCACGCACAGGCAGCCGCCGAGCAAGCCCAGCGTAAGACCTACTTCGTTTCTCTGGTTTATTTCTGTCTTATCCAGGCTCAGGGGATGGGTTTTGCGTGTGTTTGCCCGTGTTGTTTTCCACCTCTCCCCTGCACTGCTCCAAGGGGTTGAATTCTCTTAGTCAGCGTTTGCTGCGAGGCRGGAGCGGGAGATGTGCGGAGCGCTGCTGGTTTGTGCCGCTCCGGGCGCACCTGGGAGCCGGCGGCGCTGCGGGGATCCTTCCCTTCGCTTCCTGCTGGCTTTGCCGTGCTGCAGAGCTGGGGGACGTGAGATCCAGGCAGGAAAAACACAGAGTTTGTGCGCGGAGGGCTGAGCTGCCTGCGAATGTCTCCATCGCCCGCTGTCCATGGCTGAATTTTCTCCCAAGGCTCAAAATCCTTTGCTGTCTCAGCCCCCCCGCCRAAGCGCCGGCAGCAGCGAACGCGGCTGCTCCGTGGCCCTGGGCCGAGCTGTGCACATCAGGGCAGCGGTGGCTCCTGGGCACGGCTGGGTTTCATCCCAGCTCTTCCCTGCGGCTGGARTATGAGCGCGGAGGCAGCAGCGCTGCTAACCTGCTGGATGTGCTTTGGAAGCCAAAAGTAACTTTGGGATGCGCTCGGAGCAGGATGCACAGAGGAGAGCAGGTCCGGGGGAGGCAGGGGGACGGCGCGTGCTGCGGCGGGGGCTTTGCAAGGGCTGGAGGCCTTTGGGCTCCGTGTCTCTGAGCCGTCCCTGCTCCTTCAGCCGCCCTTGGAAGGGCCTGGAGGGAGGAGGCGGCTCCCCCGTGCCCAAGGCCAGGGGCGATGGGCTGGGATGCTCTGGAGAACCCAACCGATGGAGATGTGGTCGGGTGGCCTGGCGCACATGGCCAYGGTGACGCTTGCCCTGCTCGGGGCCGTGGTCGGAGCCCCTCGGGGCTGCACCAGCAGCAAGGGCTGCCCTACYCTTGCTGTACCCTACCCTACCCTACGGGCACGGGCTGTGTCACCTTGGCACAGCTCTGCGCCCCAGGGACCATGTGGTGGCCAGCCCGGGACGCAGCGCTGGCCCACCGGGACGTGGCAGTGCCACTGCTCTCAAAGGAGAACCCAAAGGCCCCTGGGTTCTGGGGTACCCTGGGGTACATCAGGGCACCCCGGGTGGGCACGTGGGCTGCCGGATGCTGCCAGCGCGTTTGGCAGGGGCAGGTTTTGATGGATGCGACGTGACAGGTAAAGCAGCTATTGCACGACTGGAACGGGTCCTGAGAGCAGAAATGCAGCTGTAATGAAAAGCTGTTATRGATTGAAATGCCACCCACAGAGACCTGCCCTCCCCTTGCCAGGCGGGAGCCGCTGGCTGTGCCAGGGCCTGGTGGGTACCAGGAGTCCAAAGGAAGGCCTGGCCTGGACGTGAAGTGTTTTTGCTGCTGGCCATGCAGTCGGTTGCTCCTTCACCTGGACCATGGCAGTGCTTTGAGTTGGGTGGTGCCCAGGAGAAGAGCCCAGCTTCTCTCCCAAAGCCTGGTCGCCCCGTCTGAGGAGCAGGGTGTCCTGGCCTCTGCTGGTGGATGGATAGACGCGTGGATGGATGGATGGAGGCTGCGGTGCTCTGAGGGATGGTTCCTTCCTAGAGCTCCAACCTCTCCTGCTCCACCAGGAGCAGGGAACTGAAGCGTCCCTTCCTCAGTTCCCTAAGCAAGGACATATCCCTGCCCAAGTGTTCCTGTCCACGTGGCCAAGAGCCTGGGACAGCAGGATCCAAGGAGGGACCCAGATGCATGAGAGCTTTYGCAAGAGCTAGTTCTGCCACAAGGCCAGGGCTCTCCTTGGTGATGCTGGGTGCCCACAAGGTCGGCAGGGGTAGGATTTGCCACAGCGTGTCCCAAGAGAGTTGGAGATGTTCTAYGGAGCCACATGGACGTTCTGCAGAGCGTGGGGGCACCAGGTGCCCTGCTCGGGGCCGGGGCAGAGGGCAGTGCCCGGAAGGGCAGGACACAGCAGGGCTTGCAGTGGCCGCCCAGCCCGGGTGAAAGGCTGGCAAGAAGCTGGGGAGCYGCGGGGTCCTGGGAGGGTGGCAGCGTGCCTGGGCATCGTGGGGTCCGACAGAGCCACGGCTCGATAGCACCTGGATTTGGCTTTAAGGGGATGTCCTGGTCTGTGGGGGGTGACAGCCCTTGCAAACCAAAGGGTTTCCAGGCCCTTTCCTGGCATGGCAGACAGGTCCCCCACGTGTGGTACATGTACATCAATGTATGGTGCTGTTCATCCCCAGGTGTATTTTTGCCTCTCCACGTGGCCTCCTGGAGGTGGCAGGTAGGGGAGATGCTCAGGCCTGGACCCCATGGTGCCCCCGTGCTTGCAGGTGCAGCCTGTGGCCTGTGAGAACAGTGAGGACCGGAGCATCACACGTGTGGACGAGGGCCTGGAGGATTTCTTCTCCAAGAAGCTCATCACAGAAGAACTGCCGTAAGCCAAGGAGCGCTGGCGGGTGCTGGAAGGGTCCTGTCCCACAAGGTTTTGTGGTGGGAATGAGCCGTCGGGGTCTGGATGGACAGTGGTGTGAATTGCTTGGGGTCCCTGGGTCAAACACGGCCCTGGTCTAACTTTTCCCAATGCCTCATCTTTCCCCAGCCCTGTGGCACTGGAAACCTGCCCTGGATCCACCCTTCCGGCATCTTCCAGCTCTCGCACCCTCAAGAAGAAAATTGGGAACTTTTTTGCGTTCAAGAAGCCCAAGTCCAGCCGGGGCTCGAGGTGCGAGAAGGAGCCCGAGGGCGCCACGGCCCCCAAGAGCCGCCGCTCGATGCTCAGTGACATTTTGCGGGCGCCCAGCAAGGCAGGAGAGGCGCTGAGCAAGTCCGAGGAAGGGGGCCTGGCCGGCGAGGCCCGGGCGGAGGCCGAGCACAGCCACACGCCCGACGCTGCCCGCAGGATCAGGCCCAAGTACTCGCGGGAGGGCAAGTCCCAGTCGCTCATTTTGCTGTCCGGGGAGGACGAGGACGCGCTCGGGGTCAGGCATGACAAGGTAAGTGACTCCGACACTGGGTGCCGCCTCTTGACCGCTGGTGGCACCGGGGCTGGATGCCGTGAGGAGCAGGGCACGGGGCTGCAGTGCRTCCGTGGTGGAGAGGGAGAGGAGAGAAGGTGGGGACACTGCAGGGACATGGGGCTTCTTGAGCAAAGCCWGGGGAGCCAACGCAGACCCTGCCGGGGTGGGAGGCCATTTGGAGCAGTGCTGCCTCCCTCACTCCCCGTCTTGGTCTTCTCTGCAGAAGAGGCACCTGGAGAAGAGTGACGGGGAGCTGCCCAACTCCTTTGAGCAGCGCATGCACCTCATGCTGCACCGCATGGGGGTCACCAAGGGCCTGGCCACCGAGGGCAAGAAGCAGCAGGTGGGGTCAGCTCTTCCTCAGGGACCCAGGGAGGGGGAGATGGTGGTCGCAGCCCTACCTCACCCCACGCCTTTCTCTTACAGAACAAGGACAATGAGATCAAGAAAGCCGGCTCTGACGGTGAGCAGTTGCATCCTGCCCCCCTGCTCCCCTCAGCCCTGGCCCACAGCTGGACATCCATAGGGTCCTTTGGGCCCCCAGATACATGGACCACAGCCAGGCCCGTCCCCCGGCCCATCCCGTATCCTGCAGCTGCAGGAACCTGGCCGAGCGTTGCCCATCCCGTTCGGGGTTGCTTCGCCTCTGCAGCGTCGTCCGCGCCGCGGGCGCTGGGCACGGGGCTGACCTGCTGCTGACACTGACCTGTGCTTGCAGGGGACATCGTGGACAGCTCTGCGGACTCGCCGCCCCCCTCGCTGAAGGTGCGCACCCACTCCGTGTCCACAGGTAGGTCCCCAGCCGCCAGGACACAGGGTGGCCTCGGGGCAGACAGATGGGGCTTTCCCCACTGTTGGCACCTTTATGGGAGCCAGAGTATGGGAGTCAACACCTACCACTGCCCTGACCTACGGGCACAGCCACCCTGCCCGAGGTCCCTCCCGAGGTGGGAGGGTGCCCATGGGTGCTCCCCTGGAGCTGGTCCTAGCAGAAGGCAACCCAGTGGCTTACATACATGGATGGAGACACGAGCCCACGCTGTCTGCCCCACTGGTGCCCTGGGCACCAAGGCYCACCCCTGTGCTGACCTGGCACCCTGGAGCTCCTTGGCTCTCCTCGGAGCCAGCTTTGGGCTGGGATGGGGACATTCCCCACATGCGGGACATCCACACTCTGCCTTCCCCCAGACCCCTCCTTCCGGAGCAGCACGGGCACCGTGCCGGAGCCGAGCGCCGCGCGGCCGCCCTGGAAGGCGCTGGGC